ACTTTCATATTAAATAAACATATTAACTACTATTTCCAGAAAAGTTGCTGCATTAGCCTGTTGTGGCAAAAACAAAGAACAGAATAGTACCTTAAATATTAAAAAAGGAAAAAAAAAAGAGCAGGCATCCACTTTCATGGATTAGAGCCCACTCCATCATATGAATACCCAGCAATAGCCTCAGGCACCAAAATGATGAAAAAGCAAAGTAGGAAAACATCTTAACATACTCTCTGCTTTTATTTTGAAACAGGAATTTGGTACCAGTTTATACACCCCCAGGTTATTTCTTTAACTGTTGCTTAGGGTTAGGATGAGCAGGGTTGCTTGACTGTAATTTAGCGGATACATTTCTATGGGTTATTTTACTCAAGCCCAATTTAGAGGGCAAATATTAATTTTATAATCTGTATGCTATCTATTGTTGATGACCAAACACAGTAACATAAAATAAAATCAAGTTCCAAACAGCACCAGAGCCCAAAAGAGCTATTTATCTATTGGCAATACTACTAGTACTTGCATTACATAATTTCAGTAAGAAAAAAAATTCCCTACCACAAAAAAACCAACGATCTTTAAAAGGTAAAAGATCATTTCAGGGCAAATATAAAATAAATTCTTCTGCCATTCATATATTTTTTAACAACCGAATTGAAGTAAAGCAAAGCCCAAAGAAATGCTGTGCAAGTAACAATTTCAATACAAATTAAAGAAAAGGGGAAGCACTTTTTGGGGGGAAAAAACAATTTAAAGAAAATTACCAAGATGATTTCTATGAAAATAAAGGTTAAGGAATTAAAAATGGGCCTTCTTTATTTTGAATAAAAAGCCTACATTAAAATAAATCTAGGGCAAAGAAGATTCTGGTAACAGTTTCCATGCAAAACAAAGAATAGAATAAAAAAGCCTGCATTAATGTACAATTATTTTTATATAAAATAAAGCAACAAAAGAATTTAACAACCGGTAGTTAAATGCAGCCATGTGCAAAAGATTCTGATGAATAGTTTATACACGAAATAGAAAAGAGGAGAAACGATTTTTTTAAGAGAAAAAGCTCTCGGATTGAAATCAAGTAGGGGCGAAAAAGATTCTGATCAAAAGAGTTCTTACACAAAGCACAGGGGAAAGGACCTTTTTAAAAGCTGCATTAAAACGGACACAGAATCTAAGATTCTCATAGCAACGATTTTTATGTAGGATCAAGAAGAAATGGAAGGATACTTTACGGTTTCAAAAAGAAAAAGAATTACACACAAGATAGGCGCCAAGAGCCAAGGAGGATTTTTTTTTCCCTTCCGTAATTAAAAAAGAAAAAAGAAACTTCAGGCGCAAAGCGAACTGTTTTCGGCCACGTTTTCCAACGGGAAAGAAAAGGAGGAAGGAGGCACGAAAACGAAGGGGAGAGGATCCCCGGCGCCCGCGGTGGGCAGGCCGGGCCCTGCCGGGCCTTTGCCCTCCGTAACGGTAACGGCGGCGGCGGCCGCAGCACCGCCCGCGCTCCGGGGCGCCCCTCCCCCTTTCCGGGGCCCTCAACGGCCGCCCGGACACCCCCCCCCACGCGATCCCGAGCGAGGAACTTTCCAGAAAGAGGGGCCGGAGCCGTCGCGCTCGGCCTCTCCCCGCGGCCTAGCCTAGCAAAGCCCGGGCCTCCACTCGCCCCCCCCCCCCCGTTCTAAGCCCCCTCAGTCCGGCGACCGTTCACCTCCCTTTCCTTCCACCCGCTCACGGCTGCCCCCGCTTCGCTCCCGCCTAGGCCCAGCCCGCCTCACCCGTCGACGCCATTTTCTTTCGCTCGCCCTCCTCCGCCTCTTTCTTCTCCTCCTCCTCCTCCTCCTTCCCCCGCTTCCTCCTCCTCCTCCTCCCGCTCTAACGTCCTCCCGGTCTTCTGGCCACGCCAGGGCTCGCGCGCCTGCGCGCGCCGCCTTACCAGTTCGGTCTCCTCCCACTGGTGGTGGCAGTGGAGGGGGGAGCCTCCCGCTTCTCTTCGGCCTTCCGCGTTGTCCAGGCTCTGGCTTTGCTTTCTCGTAAGGAGAAAGCGAAGTGGAACATGAAAAGCGACTAGAAGGGAGGGTTGAGAGGACGGCGGGTTAGGCTCTGGATGGAGAGGCGGATAGGTATTTGTCAGTATAGCATCCCTTTCCGGGTGGGAAGAATGGTTTCGTCCAGGAGGCTTTAGGGATCGTCGTACAAGAGACGGTAACTTCGGGTGTGGGACTTGCTTTTCTTTTTGTAGGGCAGAGTCTGCCGAATGCCCTGTTTTGGGGGTAGCTTCGCTGATTTCCAGGACGATGAGCAGGACATTACATTGTTTTGACGTTGCCTTTGTTATGTTTAAGCTTTTAAAATCGTAATTTGCAGGCAATTCATTTTTTAAATAAATGCGTTCTAACTTGGCGATCCCCAGAAGGGTGGTACTACAAGCCCCATCATCTGTTGCAAGCACGGCCAATAGGTAGACCATCTTCTCAGTGGGACATGTCTGTTACATTTTACCCTGCTTCTCTTTCTCCCACTCGGCTTGATCTTCACAACAGCCCTCTGTAGTAGGATAGGCTTAGACGTAGTGGACAGGTGAACGTCATGGCTGAATGGGGATTTTGGAAGCTGGGTCCTCCCCGTTGGAGCTGATGCGCTCCCAGTATTTTGGACTACAATTCCCAATGAAGATGCAGGCTGGGGAAGATAGGAGTTGTAGTCAGCACACTGGTGAGTCCCAAGTTGGAGAAGGTTGTATTAAACACTAAACCATCAATGTTGGTAATAAATGCAGACATTTATTGAAAATGAGTTGCATGATATTCAACTGGTTAAGAAAGAACAGAAAGAAAGCCTCATTGCGGAATCCTATGTTTATTCAGATGTATGTATATTCAGAAATAAGTCCCAGATCGTGCTGCCTGTGCAAGCAGTGCTGGTCTGACTAGGAGACCCTTGGGAGGAGAGAAACCATGCTGTTTTGGTGCCTGGGCACATGAAAACAAAGAGAATGGTCATGCTGTATCCATGTGCTTAGGAAACGCCTTGCCTACCTACAATATAATCATAACCGGCTGCAAAAAATAAAGCATAAATTCACCTGAGAGTAGGGGAAGGGGCTTCCAGGCAAACAGTGCAGGCTTCTTTGTGTTTGCTCAGAAGCGAATCCTGGGGGATTTGATGGAAGTTCCTCCCAGCAAAGCATGCAGAAGGTGACAGCTGGCTCTTTATTACTCCAGTGTGATTGTTGTTGGTTTTTTTTTTTTTTTGTATGTATGACATTTTGCCCCCCTTTTTCCCTTGCAAGGAACCCAAAGCAGCTTATGCAATCCCCTCCTCCTCGCCATTCTACCTTGACGACAACCCTGTGAGGCTGGCCAGGCTAAGAGTCAGCAACTGGCCCACAGTCAGCCAGAGATCTTTGTGGCCAAGATGGGACTAGAACCCAGCTCTCCCGAGTCCTGTCCAAAACTCACCATTGTCTGTTGATTACTCACTTAACAGCATGTGTATCCCCTCACTTCAAATAGACTCCCGGATCAGGTATTTTACATGAATGGATATATGAAATCCACACCAAAACCCCATAGGTGCCCAGTGGGTCAGCAAGGTAATTTTAGACCCTGGTTTTTAGGGTCTTCTGGGGCAGGTGAAGACTCTCTAGACAGCTGCAAGACGCAGCCCAGTTCTCTCTTCTCTGTCCCTCAACAGCACAGCGACACTGTCCACGGCTTCCATTTTCCTGTTGTTTGTACACCTACACGCTCCGTTCTGTCAGAGTGCCTTTCTGGCCTTAGCAGTCCCTCTGAATGGATGCCTTTGTTTGAGCCTGTTCCTTCCCACCATATCCTCTTGTAAATTGTTCAGGGCAACTGACCCGGTTTTCCTCCTCACTGTTTTATTCTCATATCAACCCAGTGAGGCAGGTTAGGCTGAGAGTGTGAGACGGGCCCAAAATTACCCATTGAGTGAGCTGTGGGGCCAAATGGGGACCAGAAGGAGGATCCCCCGAGGCCCTGTCCCACACTGGCTCTTCTGGCAGCAGGGAAATTGCAGCCCTGGTATGAATGCTACAGGGGCGTATGGCGGGGGAGCCATGCTGGGCTGACCCACAGTTTCGGGGCCTCGACAAATCCTGCACCCAACCCGCTACCGACACCAGCCATGTGCCACCAGCTCCAGCTTTGGGGTGAGCCCACTCCATCCTTGCCTGCCTGCCTCCTGAGCTGTGGACTCACCTGTGGCCGTGGGATGCTGCTGTCCCCACTCTGTCCTGGAGCACCACCCCATGGCTTTGTGGGAGATGAAAATGCCCCCAGTCAGGCATAGAATGGCTTCCTTTGAAAATGCCCAGAATAGCCCTACAGGTGGGAGATTGCGGGAAATGTTCCATGTCAGTTCACAGGTGCCTGCTTCAGGGCACCCAACAGCTGCCACTGCCAGTGGGTCCCACAGAAAACCCGGCGCTTTGGGGCAGGGGAAGCAAACAAGCCCTTTAAAAAGCTTCCTAGCCCTTCTGTATTTTTATCAGAGTATGAAAATGCACACTTGCTGGCTTGTTTGCTGGCGTTTGTTGACCTCCAACTCAGCAGCCCCTTCGCTTGCACACAGGCTGGAACCACGGCATACCGCAGTCTCCTCAAGCTGGCATTCTGCAGGCATGCAGGACCACAATCCCCATCATTCCCAGCCAGCATGGCCAACGGCCGTGGCTGCAAACCCAGGGAGTTGCAGGCAGCCGAACTGCATCTGCAGGACGCCACGCGGGATTCACTGGGCCCTTTGCCTGAGTGGACATCCTGAGAAAGAACGCAAAAGAGGGACTGGATTGATTGTCCCCTCCGCACACACGCAAAGAAAAGGGCGACAGCCCTGCTGCAACGGGCAAGGACCGCGTCCAAAGCCCCGGCTTGTTCACCTCCCGCCTCCCCAAGGCAGCACCATCTCCACCGCGGGCCCCTCTTTAGCTACGCTCCCTTGCGGGCGGCATGTGCAAGCTGCCTGTGCAACCGGCCCGCACAGAAATGCAGGCACGCGCAAAATGGCCGCACAGCGGCCCCCCGGTGCTGACGGGCCGGGGCGGCGGCAGCCTCTCCCACCAAACATCCCTTCCTGAGCTGGGTAAAGGAAAGGAAGGGCGGGGAGGGGTCCCCTGCATTCCTGCAAGCAGGGATGCCCTCGCGTGGGTGCGGGGAGGCCGGGCAGCAGCGTGGGGTCTCTGGAGGGGAGCAGCCGGAAACCCAGAGGAGGCTGAGGGGGGGACCTGGACACTGGATGTCAGGGTGCAGAACCTCAGGCAGCCGCAGCCACGGCTCCTGGGGTGCCCCAGCAGGCTCGCCTCCTCCCCCAGTGCCGCCTTGTCCCCGCATCCCAAAGGGGCGAGATGCCGCTGCTGTGGCTTGCTGACATTGCCAGCTTCAAGCCAGGGTATTGCTGGGGGGCGGGGGTTGCAGGCAAATCTGTTTTAAATTGTTTAAACGGTTGGATTTTCTCTATTTTAATTACTGTGAGAACCGTTTTGAAAGTGGTATATCAAGCAGTATATAAATGCTTTAAATAAATAAATAAAATGCGAGAGTGCTTTTGGCCCACGCCCCTGGCTTGCTCCCGCCACTCCAGGCAGGCAGTCCCCAATTCCAGTTCCTGGAAAGGAAGGCCTGCTTCCGGCCCCTCGAGGGGGCCTTTGGGGGATCTGGCAAGTGGGTCATGAAGGCAGGAACACCCCTCGCCTGTCACCTGATCTGCTCCCGTCCCCTTATTACACAGAAGGGATCTGCTTCGGGACACAGGATTCGTTTTGCCATCACGTCCAAAAGCCTTTGACAGGCTGGCCCTCTCCCATGATTTCCACTCCCTTTGTTTAAAGGCTGCCTGAGAAGGTTGTCTTTCCAACTGGTGAGGTCCCAGCTCTTCCTCCAGTCATGCTGGCTGGGGATGATGGGAGTTGGAGTCTATCTGGAAGACACCAGATTGGAAGAAAGCTTTCTTGACATCTTTTTCGTGGCCTCTTTCAATGTTTTAGCTTTTGCTCAAATGCTCCATTATTTGTATTGTTAAAAAATGTGGGCCTTGAAAGCTGTCATTTGGGGGCAGGAACACAATGAGCAATATGTTGTGTGGAGGAGGCCTTCATGCCATGCCACCAAGCATCTCCCTGGGCGGGCCCGAGTTCCAGCATGCCAAGAGAGGGAGTGAGGTGCTGAAAGCCCCTCGTATCGGTGGGTTTATTCCTTCCCTCTTCCTAAAAGAGGGCTATGGGTAACCCATATCAAGTCCCGTGTAAATGACTTAACATGAGACTTGATATGGGTTACCCATAGCCCTCTTTTAATCACATGAGGAAATTGTTTCAGGTGCATAGCCATATTATCTGCTTCCAGGAGAAAGGAAAGTGGTGTTCATGACCTATAAGGCCCAGTATGACCCTCTGGAAGAACAACCTCTTATGACTCACTCAAGGTTCAATGCCTCTGCCATCAGAGCCGTGTTTGGCATGTTTGGCGAGAGCAAGAGGAAGGGCCTTCTTGGTGCTGGCTCCAGGCTCTGCACCTGCTGCCCAGAGAGCCCTGGGTCGATCCCCTCTCTGTTGCCCTTCTGCAGGCAGGCGGCCATCACCAAAGGGAAAATCATTAGGTTGGGTGCGGCTTGTTGCTTTCCATATTGTGTTTCCCATTGTGTTTTGAACAGATTTGTTTTTAATGATAGTTTTAATCACATTTTGCTTTACTTTTGGTTGTATTATTGCTGTCCACCTTGAGTGCCATTTTATGAATAAATCCTATGACCAAAGGCCGAACTCTGTGCAAGTTAAGACATGAAAAAGACTTACAAATTCCTAGTCAGCTGACATGGGCATCCTGGGAATTGGTAGCCCTTTTTCCTGTCTCCAGTTGCACAGGATTAGACGCTAACTGGATCATAGCTATGATTTCCCACCTGCCCTAACCTTACCAGGTGGCTTTAGTTCTTAAGCTGGTGTATCTCAGCTCCTGCCTCCATAAATAATACAGGTGATCAGACTATGTAAAATAGGGATCATCGTTCTAATTCAGGGTTTTATTGATGTATTTCTTAGATTTCTATAGTGCCCAAACTCTCTGGGCAGTTTGCAGCAATTAAAATTGTAGTATACATCACAGTAAAACAGAACAGATATAATGTAAACCCACAGTATACAACCAAAGTTAAGCAGCACAAAAAAAATCAGAAATACAATAACACATTTTAAATAATTAAAAAACAAAACTAAGGGGTTCATTCCATGTGGCTGAGCAAAACTCCCCAGCCTCGGATGATTTGGGGCATCCAGTGGAAGGCAGGAGGACCTGGAGATGGGCCCCGCTGGGTACTAAAATGCCTGGAAGAATAACCTGGTGCCAAAAAGACCACAACGCAGGTGCCACATGAGCCTTTCCTGGGAGGCGTGTCACACCTGGGGTGCCACCACCCAGGGACCCTCTCCTTAGTTGTCGCCTGGCCTGTGTCGTTTGTTGGGGGCTTCTTAAGGAGGGCCTCTAAAATTGTGTTGTGGGCCGGCAGTTATGCATGTGTGGTTGCTGTGATCACCCACATTCAGCCAGGAAGGCAAGCAGTGGCTGTGGGTGCAAGGCAAAGCTCTCTTGATAAAAATATCTCCCCTCTGCCTTTCAGTCTGGTCCAGCGGATGATACAAGCCAAACTCTGTCCCTGTACGGCCAAGGGCACTTCCGCGGCCAGAGTTTGGGATCAGAAGCCGCTCCGCCGCCTTGCCTGCAGCGCAAAAGTCTCCCTGAACCGATGAGTCCGAGCTGCCTGCACGTACCGAGACGCGGCAGCCGTTGCCCTTCCTCTGTCCTCGCAGGGGCATGTGGCTCAGAAGGCTCTTGGCCAGGCCCCGGGGGCCGCAGCTGCCCCCCGTCGCCTCTTCTGCCCTCATGCTGCTGCTCTGGCTGGTCTGGTGGACTGGCGTCGGGGAGAGTTTGGCCTTGGAGCCCAGCCTGCTGACCAGCCCCTCCCAAGGTAGGTGCCTGTGCCTTCCAGGTCGCACTTGGCCCTGTGGAGCAAGCTCCCATAATGAAGCCACGCCGCGTCCAGAAAGAGAGCTGCCTGCCCATTTCACAGACTCAGAGAACAGAGGAGTTGGAAGGGGCCGTGGAGGCCGTCGGGTCCAACCGCCTGCTCAGTGCGGGACACCAGTTTTGCCCCTTCCCACAGCTCTGGGCATGCCTGGATTTATGCCGGAGTGGGAGCTGCCTCTTGCTAACCTCTGTGGCTCGTCTCATGCAACGGCCAGCTTTATTTTGGGGGGACAGGGCGGGTTGCGAGGCCAGCTTTCCTTGGGACGAGGTGGGGTGGGTGGGGTTGGACTGGGGACCCAGAAGTTCGGAAGCGCGCTGGGTGGGCAGTTACTGACTCGCAGCCCAAACTACCTCACAGGGCTGTTCGGAAGATAAGATGGGGAGTGGGGGGTTATGCAACCCACCTTGGGTTCCTTTATTAAACAATAAACCAGTCGACCTGTTGCGATCCAGAACTTGTGCCTGCAACGCCAAACACTGAGCCAGCATGGCACCTGGAAGAGACCTGCTAAGGGAAGGCGCGTTGAGGCAGAGCGGACACCTTCCAAGACCTCCAGCCTTTCGGGGAGAAGGCTGGGACCCCTTAATTTCGTTAAGTGTGAACAAAGAAGCATGAGAACAAAAGGGGAGAGGGGGATGCCCATTGCAGCAAAGGTCTGTCTGCCCACTTATTATAAACCGGGAATTTTGTGGAATTGTGTTAATGGACTTGTTTTGTCTATCCTGGACACAATCCTGAGCGGGTTTAGCCAGAAAAACACCCCACAGCTCCCCGCGTGCCCCAGCCAGCCCTGCATGTGGGGAGGTGTCAGGCCTTTCCTGTCTCAGCCTGCACAAGACCGTGCGCTCGGTGGACCACCGGCTGCTCCGAGTTCCCCTTACGGGCAAGAAGGGGCACCTGCACATGGCAAGCACCGTCACTAACACCGGCGGCTCATCTCCCACAGCCTACCGCCTGGTCTCCTACTGCCTGTGCCACACGGACGCCGCCTTGCTCGCCGTCAACCTGCTGTGCTTCCCGCTGCTGGCCTGGCGCCTGGAGCGGCAGCAGGGCCCGCTCTGTTACCTCCACGCCGCGGCGGTGGGTGCCGCCACCTCGGCCCTCCTGTACCTCCTCCTCGCTGGACTGTGCGGCGCCCTGCCCGGCCCCGCCGTCGGCAGCTACCTCCCGGTGCACTTGGCCACGCTGGGGTGTCGCCAGCGTCACGGGGGGCGCTCGGGCTGGGCCCCCACGGCCTTGTTGGCTGGGTTGCTCCTCGCCCTCGGCCAGGTTCTTCCCCGCCGCCCTCCTCTCCTGCTGCACTTGTGTGGGCTGCTGATGGGCCTGGCTGGTATCCTTTCGCAGAGGTCCGGGTCCCGGGGCCGGGTGCTGGGGCTGAGCCAGACCTGGGAGGCCTGTGCCTTCGCACTGCCTCCATGGACCCGGCCAGTCCTACAAAACGGGAACGGCGGGCTTGGTGAAAAGCCTGCTGACCATTTCCTTGGCAGAGAGGAAAGATCATGTGCCTTAACAGGTACGAAGGATCCGTCCCACGGTGGGGTGGGCAGCTCCTTTCCGTGGCCTTTGGGTGGCCATGTGGGGCCAGCCCTGTCGTACGAGCCGAATCCCCATTCTCCCAGCCGCCAGCTTGAGGCTCTGATGCTCCGGGGAGAGTGCTCGCCTTGCATGCCAAGGGTCTCAGGTTCAGTCTTGGGCATCTCCAGGGTGGGCTGGAAAGCCCCCTGCCAGAGCCACACTGGAAGGCTGCTGCCAGCCTGTGCCAGCAATCCCGGGCTTGGTGGAAGGCAGCATCCTTGGAGCAAGGCGGTCTCAGCCCACGGGTGTGCCCACTTAAGCATCCCACGGGCAACAGCGTTCGCCTTGGAGCACCTGCTCGGCTTTCCTCGGCTGCACAAGTTCTCCTTGACATGTCAGGCTGGGCCAGGATTTTCTCCCCGCTGGAACTGTCAGAGCGGTGCCTGGAAACGCTCTGCCGCTGGACCCAGGGCCGGAGCTCCCTTCCCCCCTTCGTCTCGCCTCCAGCAGCTGGAATCCTTCCGACCGTTGACCCGGCAGCCCAGAGGGAAAGGTAAATTTGGAGCAATGCATGAAAAAGGGAGGGACGCGGGGGTAGATGGGAGGGCTGCATGGGGGAAGCCGGGGGTGGGGGGTGCTTTCCCCCCTCTTCATCATACTAAAAGCTGGGGTGATCTGGGGAGGCTGAATGCCCAGAGGTTCCGGACCGTGCTGCCCACTCAGGTGGATCTCGGGGGGGGGGGGGGGGG